CTAGGGCTAGCTTCTATCCGGGCTTCCTTCCTCTTATACGCTATAACCCTAGGCCTCCTATCGAGCTTAGGAAAGTCGGTAGAGGGGATAGGGGTTATAACGTTATAGGCCGGATGCTGTATAGGGATATAGCTATTATCGATCTTATAGAGGTAAGGCTCTTGCAATAAGATAAGGTCCGCTCTTATTTCTAGGGCCTGCTCTAGGATCGATAGGTTCATGTTCCTGCCTATTAGTATTATGCTGTATAATACTAATAGGGTCGTAGTTAGCCTAGGGGCCTAGGGGCTTCAGGGGCCCTATAGGCGTAAAGGGCTAAGGCTGTTAGGCATTAGTTATTCCCTTATAGACTCCGCATTATACCTTATTAGTCGTAAGGTGTTCTCCCTTGCAGTTATAGCATTGGGCCTTAAAGTAAGAGCACCCTTGGCTAGCCTTGCAGCTAGGGCAGCTATGATCCCTAGTTAGGTGCTTTTCCGGGCAAAAGGCACACCTAACAAGCTGCCGGCAGGTCTGGGGGTTATGGCCGAAGGAAAGGCATCTATAGCACTGCGTGCGTATAGTATATTCCTTATAGGCCTCGACTCGAAGCCATAGGCCTGCTATATAGAGGCCTTTTTTCCGGCATTCGGCCCCTATAGCCTCCGAAGGGACTGCGAAGACGACGGACCCCGTCTTTTGCGTTGGGCCTAGGGTGCCTAGCCACCTAGGCTGCCCTAGGATATCGATCCCGCTAAAGGTCTTAGCCTCTACGGCGAAGATATCGAGGATAGGGGTCTCTAGGAGGTTAGGGACGCTCCGGGCTACTAGCTTAGTCCAGCTAGTAGGAAGGTCGGCCGATTCGATAGGCAGTCCCTTAAAGCATAGGGACCACTTATTCCGCTGCTCTAGAAGTTTCTTCGCTGTATAAGGGGCTTTTATCGTTATAACTATATTACCTCTATTCGAAGTCGATAGAGCTAATATAGCTAGTTCCTATAGCCTTATTAAGCTCGTTGCGAAGAGTAATAGGGTTAATAGTCGGCGTTGGCGATCCCTTCTTTAGCTTTAGGATAAGCTGGAAGTCCTCTTTTGCGTTCCTCTTAGCCGGGGCCCTAGCCGGAGCCTTAGCCGGGGCCCTAGCCGGGGCCTTAGCCGGGGTCTTAGCCGGGGCCTTAGGCGCCTTCTTTGCGGCGACCTTAGCCCACGAGCTAGCTTCGAGATTTCCTTTCGTGGCCTTAGGCTGCTGGGCGGCCTTAGGCTGGTGCGGGGGCTGTTGCGGGGGCTGTTGCGGGGGCTGTTGGCGGTCCGGGGTCCCTATAGCTGCCTTTTCGAGCCCTTCTATAAGGGTCTTATAAAAGGGTTCGATTTTTTAGGCTTCCTTAAGGGCCCAGAGGGCCTGTTAAAGGAAGCCCTGGGCCCGGTCCCTTGGGAAGGGGTGCTGGGGCTGGGGCTGGGGCTGCTATTGCTATAGGCGTTGGAGTATAAGCCGGGTAGGCGTAGGGCTAGTAGGGCTACTAAGAGCAGCCCTCTTTCGTCCCTTTACCTGCCTAAGGGGCTGGTTTGGCTGGAAGTGGCTAGCCCGAGGCAGGGATAGGCTAGGCCTAAAGATGCTAATCTTAGGCCCGCTGGGCCCGCTAGGCTGGATCGGGCTAGTAACCTAGGTAGGTACTAGGCTTATTTCGTTATCTTCCATCTCGATATCCTCTTGGCCTTAGTCTTGGTCTCGGGCTTTAGGCTTCCCTTCTAGGGTCCTTAAAGGGCGTTGGCCTTCTAAGGCTTCTTCTAAGCGGGCCCTAGCCTCTAGGGTGCTTATTTCGTCCCCTATATTAAAGGGGGTCGAAGGGGCCCGCCTAGGGCCTAGGCCGGGGTCCTGGGTCGGGTCCGGGCTTGGTTGCGTTTGCGGGGGGTACGTATTAGTCAGCGAGGGCGGGGAAGGGTTTTCCACCCGTACGGGGGAAAACCTAGCCCAGCTCGCTATCTTCGGCAGCATATTACGCACCCGCTAGTAGCTGCGCGAGGCTGCACTTAGGGGGGCGTAATATACTATTCGCGAGGGTTCTAGGCGTATGCTTTTTTCGTATTTTAGGCTTGGTTTCGAAAAGTTAGCTAAAAAGACGTGATGATGTTTTTTTAGTTATTCCCTTATAAACTCCGTATTACACCTTATTAGTCGTAAGGTGTTCTCCCTTATAGTTATAGCATTAGACCTTAAAGTAAGAACACCCTTAGCTAGCCTTATAGCTAGGGCAGCTATAATCCCTAGTTAGGTGCTTTTCCGGGTAAAAGGCATACTTAATAAGCTGCCGGCAGGTCCGGGGGTTATAGCCGAAGGAAAGGTATCTATAGCACTGCGTGCGTATAGTATATTCCTTATAGGCCTCGACTCAAAGCTATAGGCCTGCTATATAGAGGCCTTTTTTCCGGTATTCGGCCCCTATAGCCTCTAAAGGGACTACGAAGACGACGGACCCCGTCTTTTACGTTAGGCCTAGGGTGCCTAGCTACCTAGGCTGCCCTAGGATATCGATCCCGCTAAAGGTCTTAGCCTCTACGGCGAAGATATCGAGGATAGGGGTCTCTAGGAGGTTAGGGACGCTCCGGGCTACTAGCTTAGTCTAGCTAGTAAGAAGGTCGGCCGATTCGATAGGTAGTCCCTTAAAGTATAGGGACTACTTATTCCGCTACTCTAGAAGTTTCTTCGCTATATAAGGGGCTTTTATTATTATAACTATATTACCTCTATTCGAAGTCGATAGAGCTAATATAGCTAGTTCCCCTATAGCCTTATTAAGCTCGTTATAAAGAGCAATAGGGTTAATAGTCGGCGTTAGCGATCCCTTCTTTAGCTTTAGGATAAGCTAGAAGTCCTCCTTTACGTTCCTCTTAGCCGGGGCCCTAGCCGGAGCCTTAGCCGGGGCCTTAGCCGGGGCCTTAGCCGGGGTCTTAGCCGGGGCCTTAGGCGCCTTCTTTACGGCGACCTTAGCCTACGAGCTAGCTTCGAGATTTCCTTTCATGGCCTTAGGCTGCTAGGCGGCCTTAGGCTGGTGCGGGGGCTGTTGCGGGGGCTGTTATAGGGGCTGTTAGCGGTCCGGGGTCCCTATAGCTGCCTTTTCGAGCCCTTCTATAAGGGTCTTATAAAAGGGTTCGATTTTTTAGGCTTCCTTAAGGGCCTAGAGGGCCTGTTAGAGGAAGCCTAGGCTGATCCCTTAGGAAGGGGTGCTAGGGCTAGGGCTAGGGCTGCTATTGCTATAGGCGTTAGAGTATAAGCCGGGTAGGCGTAGGGCTAATAGGGCTACTAAGAGCAGCCCTCTTTCGTCCCTTTACCTACTTAAGGGGCTAGTTTAGCTAGAAGTAGCTAGCCCGAGGCAGGGATAGGCTAGGCTTAAAGGTACTAGTCTTAGGCCCGCTAGGCCCGCTAGGCTAGATCGGGCTAGTAGCCTAGGTAGGTACTAGGCTTATTTCGTTATCTTCTATCTCGATATCCTCTTAGCCTTAGTCTTAGTCTCTAGCTTTAGGCTTCCCTTCTAAGGTCCTTAAAGGGCGTTAGCCTTCTAAGGCTTCTTCTAAGCGGGCCCTAGCCTCTAGGGTGCTTATTTCGTCCCCTATATTAAAGGGGTCGAAGGGGCCTGCCTAGGGCCTAGGCCGGGTCCTAGGTCGGGTCCGGGCTTAGTTACGTTTATAGGGGTACGTATTAGTTAGCGAGGGCGGGGAAGGTTTTCCACCTATAGGGGAAAAGCCTAGCTCGCTATCTTCGGCAGCATATTACGCACCCGCTAGTAGCTGCGCGAGGCTGCACTTAGGGGGGCGTAATATGCTATTCGCGAGGGTTCTAGGCGTATGCTTTTTTCGTATTTTAGGCTTAGTTTCAAAAAGTTAGCTAAAAGGACGTAATAATCCCTCGATAGTAGCTTTAAATTTATATATATAGATAAGTAAGTAGGTATAGGTAGGCGCAATATATATATATATAGACGGGGGCATTTAAAAGATATAGATACTTACTAGGCCGGGCGCGGTACTTTAGGCGGGGCGGGCTAGCGGGTATATATACCGAAAAAATATATCCGTTATACTAATAGTAAAAGGGTATTATATAAATAGCTTTACTTATAATATTTATTAAGTCGGCCCTTTAATAGGTATATCCCTTAAGAATAATACTAGTTATTATAAGGGAGCGGGATTTAAACCTATAACCTTATAAAAGAAGCGGGTCTTTTAAGCGCTCTTATTACTATACTATCCCCCTTTAACCTAAGGCTTATATAGGTCTAGGCTAGCTAATAAGTATAAAGCTAGGTTCTAGCTACCTAAGTTAATAAGCATAGGGATAATAAAGCTAGTAGGGCTAGTATAATTAATAGGAAAGGGTAAGGTAGAGCTAGTAGTATAAGGAGCCTAAGACTTAATTATATAAAAGCTATTAATAAGGTAGCGCTATACTACGCTAAAGGAAGGGTATTATATAAAAGTTTTTAAGTATTATAGGTTATATACTTAAGCTATAGCCTAAGCTATATAGTTATATACGGAGGGCTAGATCCTATATATATATATATAGGCTAGCTATATATAAAAGAGCTCTATATAGCTTATTAATATTATCTTATAAATAGTACTTATATATATACCTTTACTTATTTTATAATAATAATTAAAAAAAAGCTTTTAAGCTTTATAGTTAGCTAAGGCTATTAGAAAGAGCTTAGCTATACCTAGCCTCGCTATAGTATTAAAGGCTATATATAAGTATAAAAAAAAAGAGTTCCGGTGTTAGGGTGTGCCGGACTTTAGGTGGGCTGACTTAGTGCTTATTATATCTCCTGCCAGTCTCGTGACAGCTATGCAAGCCTATCTTATCGTTACATCCCGATTATTAGTATAACACGTGATCGTTATAGCCCTGGTTGACTGTACCTAAGTTCCCTACCTTACGTCAAGAATAAATAATCTCCTTTCTCCGCTACTAGAATAGCCGCGACACATCTCCAAAGTGTCACCCCAGCACAACAGCGACCATGGGCATTCCCGCAGCGTTTCGATGGCTCTCGAGCAAGTATCCGAAAATCATCTCGCCTGTGATAGAGGAGCGGCCCGTCACTATGGAGGACGGCAGCGTGATCCCGGTCGACGCGACCACGCGAAATCCCAATGGCGAGGAATTTGATAACCTCTACCTTGACATGAACGGCATCGTCCACCCATGCTCGCACCCAGAGGACAGACCTGCGCCCAAGGACGAGGAGGAAATGATGTTGGAGGTGTTCAAGTACACAGATCGTGTCGTGAACATGGTTCGCCCACGCAAGATCCTCATGATCGCTGTCGGTAGGCCATCTCTCCAAATCCCCTTCCCCAGCTCAAGTGCGATGTTGCTCACCCGAAATGGCCAGACGGCGTTGCGCCACGAGCCAAAATGAACCAGCAAAGATCACGACGGTTCCGGTCGGCCCAGGAGGCCAAGGAGAAGGAGGCAGAGAAGCAAGAGCTCCTGAAGCTTTTGAAGCAGCAGAACAATGGTGTTTTGCCCCCCGATCACGAAGAAAATGTCGCCAAGAAGGCATTTGACTCTAACTCAATCACCCCTGGTACACCATTCATGGACATACTCGCCACGAGTCTTCGCTACTGGTGCCAGTACAAACTCAACACCGACCCTGCCTGGGCAAAGCTCAAGGTCATCATCTCCGATGCCACTGTCCCTGGAGAAGGCGAACACAAAATCATGTCTTTTATTCGATCGCAGCGGGCCTCCTCCGATCATGACCCAAACACGCGGCACGTCATTTACGGCCTCGACGCTGACCTGATCATGCTCGGCCTCGCAACGCATGAGCCCCATTTCAGGGTACTGCGAGAAGACGTCTTTTTCCAAGAGAGCAAGGCAAGGACGTGCAAGCTGTGCGGACAACGGGGACACGAGGCGCGCGACTGCCGTGGCGAGCAAAAGGACAAGCAGGGCGAGTTTGATGAGAAGACGCACGGTCTCAGCCTCAAGCCTTTCATCTGGCTTCATGTGTCAGTTCTGCGGGAGTATCTGGCCGCCGAGTTGGCAGTCCCTGGCTTGCCGTATCGCTTTGATCTGGAACGCGCCATTGACGACTGGGTATTCATGTGCTGTTTCGTGGGAAACGACTTCTTGCCTCACCTTCCGGCCCTGGAAATCCGCGAACACGGCATCGATACTTTGACAGCGATATGGCGGGATAACCTTCCGACAATGGGTGGATTCGTCACAAAGGACGGCTACATCAATTGGGAACGAGCACAGCGCATCTTGGACGGGCTTGCCAAGCAGGAGGATGCGATTTTCAAGCGCCGGAAAGAGCAGGAAGACCGCCGGGAGGCGAGTTTCAAGCGGAGAAAGCTACAGGCTGACGGCCATGCCATGTCGGGGCGTCAAGGACACGCGGCAAAGTCTATGAGAAGCGGCCACTCAGACCCCGCTCGCGGCCTGCAACTTCATCCAATTGCCTCATACCCGAGGGAGCTTCCGCGAGCTATCACTCATGACATGGTGGTCAATCGCGGTGCGCTTCCAGACGCGAACGTCGCGAATAAGAGTGCAGCGAGCGTTCTCAAGTCGCAGTTGCGTGGCGAGAAGCAGACGCCGAACTCTGACGATACGACCAATGGAGCATCACAGTCCGTCCTTGGGAAACGCAAAGCATCCCACCCTGAAGAGGCAGTCGGCACTACCGGACAACAGGCAGCGAAAACCGCTACGCCCCCGATTCCCGTCGAGGGCCCCGTTGATGCGGTTCGGCTGTGGGAGGACGGGTACGCTGATCGTTACTATCAGCAAAAGTTTCACAAAGAAGCCACCGACTTGAAATTCCGCCATGAGGTCGCCCGCGCCTACGCAGAAGGACTGGCGTGGGTGTTGCTGTACTACTTCCAGGGATGCCCCTCGTGGGATTGGTATTACCCATACCACTACGCACCCTTCGCGGCGGACTTCAAGGACATGGCCGAGATGGATATTACTTTCGACAAGGGGTACACATCCAGGCCGTTTGAACAGTTAATGAGTGTTTTGCCAGCTGCTTCTCGTCACGCCCTGCCGGAAGTCTTCCACGATCTTATGACGAATAAGGACAGCGAAATTATCGACTTTTATCCCGAAGACTTCGAGATAGACCTCAACGGGAAGAAGATGGCTTGGCAAGGCGTGGCACTGTTGCCATTCATCGACATGCCTCGACTGCTCGCCGCCGTCCAACAAAAGTACCCTTTGCTGAGTCCCGGAGACATCATCCGCAACAGCGTTGGAAGGGACGTTCTCCTCTTCGCTGACAGCCATGAGAGCTTGTACGACGAAGTCTTGACCAGATTCTACTCGAAGCGCCAAGGCTCCACGAGGCTCAAGCTCAACCCAAAGACAAGCAACGGCCTTTGCGGAAAGGTGGAGAAGCAAGACGACTACGTTCCCCACGGGATGTTGCGATATCCTCTAGAGAGGCGTGCGATGCCGGACCTAGATTACGATCGATCGATCAGGTATGTTGCCTTAGCAATCCAGACGTGAGAGTACTGACATTGTCGACGTAGTGTCTACTACGACATACCATTGTCTTCGCAAGCCCATAAGTCAATGCTTCTCAGGGGAGCCCAATTGCCGTCGCCCGCTTTAACGAGGAGCGACATTGAGGTGATTCGGGGAAAGGCAAGTCGAGCTGGACGAAGCTATGCTGGGGGACGTCTAGAGCGATCAGATCCACCTAGTGGACGCCAAGAGCCTGTTTTCTATGGCCCTGACCGCGACAGGGCAGGTAGACCAGGTCACTATAATCCGGGAGGTTTTCGGCAGGTAGATAACTATCGACCATACTTTAGACACCCCTAACTGGTAATATAATATTAGGGAAAGATTAGTATAATATAATGTTATTTTTAAAATTATTTTTAAAATATTACTTAAATAATTTATTTAAAGTATTAGTATTTACTTTATCTTTAAGTTTTATTTTATATAAGTATTATTATTAAGTATTACTATTTATATAAATATATATCGCTATTTATATAAAGGCTTTATTTTTAAGATATATACTAGTACTAGCCCGCCCTGCTTATTTATATAGCGCTTATATAGTAGGTAGCGGTGCTGCCTAAACGCTTATACCCCCGCCCGCTTATATATATATATATATATATATATAAGGTAGTAAATACTATATATTATATACCTCTTAATATACTTAAATAATATATATTTAAGCCTTAAGCTCGAAGTTACAATAATTAGCTTATTAATTAATCTAGCTCCTCCTTAGCCCTTATAACTATATAGGTATAGCGGCGGCGCCTACTTAACGATCCCTTTAACGCTTAACGAAGCTAGCTGCCTTAACGAAGCTAGCTACCTTAATAAAGCTAGCTACCTTAATAAAGCTAGCGGCGCGCCCTTCTTACTACGTCCTCCTCTTAATCTCCTTCCCTTTATATTTCCTTAAGCGGTCGATCTTTATTATAATACTATAAGAGATTATAGACTATAGCTAAGTTCGTTAATTTCGTTATACCTTTAGCGCTTTTAAATACTTATATTAAGCCGCCTTAAGCTAGCTTAACTTAAATTAAGTACTATTATAATACTATTACTATTATTACCGCCGCCGCTATTACTACTATTACTATTAGTTATAATACTATTCCTAAAGTATTATAGGCTTCGTTTAAGTTACTTTATAATATAAAGGTATTAAAGAAAGAAAAAAAAAGGTCTAATTTTTTCTTATTACTTATATATAGCCTCTAAGGCTATAGCGAGGCTAATAAGGGCCTAGGCCCTTATTAGTAGTCCTAGCTAGCTATAGGGCCTAAGGGCTTATAGCTAATTAAGGAAAGGGTAGCTATAAAGGTAAAGATAAAGGAAAGGTTAATTTAGTTCCTCTTATATAGTATTTTTCCCTCCTAAGGGCCCTAGGGCCCTTAGGTTACTCCTTTTTAAGCTACTTAGCTATTCCTATCTTTATTTTAGCTAAGAAGGTTAAAGGGCTTCCCTTCCTTCCTTAGAGCTATAAAGATAAGGTAGGCTAAGGGCCTCCTTCTATCCCTTTAAAGCTTAGTAAAATACCTCTCTTTCCCTCTTATAGTTTAAGCACCTTAAGATAAAGTGCCTTACTATATACCTTCCTTAGCTATTATTACGACTATAGCTACTAGGCCGCTAATAGTCGACCGCGTTAAGCACGTAATACGGTCTAATAGATAAATAGTTAGTATAACTATTTAATAGATAGGGGATTAAAGGGATTATAGAGATCTAAGTAATCTAGGATTAGTAGGATTACTACGCTTTATACGATCTAATATTAGGGATTATAGCTAGGCCTATAATCTAAAGATAGTCTCTATAGGTATATATAGCTACCTACTTTTACTCCTTTAAATAGATAGCTCTTTAGCTTTTAATATAGATCTTTATTATGATTCTATCTTTAATTTTAATTACTTATAACGACCGGTATTATTCCTAAGGGATAAACCTATTAAGGGGTTTATATTAGTAGATATAATAGGGCGTAGTCTAAGTAATAATAAGTATATTACGTTAGTAATAAGTCGGAGGTTATAGACTATAGACTATAACTAAGTAATTAGAATTAGAGATAGAATCGTAATAAAGATCTATATTAAAAGCTAGAGAGCTATCTATCTAAAGGAGTAAAAGTAGGTAGCTATATATACCTATAGAGACTATCCTTAGATTATAGGCCTAGCTATAATCCCTAACGTTAGATTGTATAGGGCATAGTAATCCTATTAATCCTAGATTACTTAGATCTCTATAATCCCCTCGATCCTATACCTATTAGATAGTCGTGCTAACTATTTATCCGTTAAGCTATATTATATACTTAACGCGGTCGACCGTTAGCGGCTTAGTAGCTATAGTCGTAATATAATATCTCCCCTCCTTTTAGTCTTATCTATAAGACCTACTATAGCTACCTTAGCCGCCGTATATAAATATACCCTTATCGCGTTATACGTAAGTATATTGTTCCTTATTTCTTTATCTTTTTAGGATATACTACTAATAGTATATCTAGTCGTATACTAAAAAATCGTTCCCGAAAAGCCTTTAAGCGCGCTACTCTTACTAAATATATCGACTTAAGTAGAGATCCTACTAATATACTATATACTTAATACTTTAAGGCGAAGAAGACGAATTATTAGATAGCCGAAAATTCTTTGCGCTATAATAATTATATTGCTAGTAGTCGTCCTTATTATAATAGTGTTTTAGTAGCCTCTTTTTATAAGTATCTTTTAATTCTTTCTATGCGTAGTAGCTAACGTATTTCTTTTAGTAACTAAATTATTAGTAGAGTAGTATAGGCTATATTCTAAAGAGAAAGAAGCTAAGGAAGCCTTATTAGAGCTTTAGGTATAGCTTACGAACCTTTAGTCGTAAATATCTATCGCTATTAATCGTTTAGCTTATATCTAAAAGATTCGGAATCGTATAAAGGAAAAGAGTTCTAAGTTATTTCGTTATAGTATCTAAGAAGTAGATACTAAGGATAGCGTTTTGCCTATACTCGATATATATAAGTATTAGGTAGTAAATAACTTATAATCGTTAGGCGTTCTTAATAAGGTGAATTAGTCCTTATTCGGTATTAGCGAGGAGTTTATAGATCTTAGTCCTTTAATCCCTCCTAAACCTTTTAGTAAAATTATCGAAGTAAAGAGCTATAGTAGGTTAAGTGCTTAAGTAGTTCCTAGGTATTCTCTTTTAGTCTATATCCTTTCTATTTAATAAGGTATTCTTATTACTAACCTTATTTTCTTATATTTAGTATTTATTTAGCTTTATATTCCTAATTATCGTTAACTTCGATTTTATTTTATAGTTTAGCGTCTTATAGTACTAGTTCTAATAATAAGATATAAAATATTAGGTATATCTATATTATTATTAGTAGCGAAAGTTTATAGTTAACTTTTAAAATAGCTTTCTTAACCTTAAACGGTTTAAGTTTCTTAAAATCTAATTTATTACTTAGTTATTTTATTTTAAGATTTCGTTATATAAGGTAGACTATATCTCCCTCTTAAAAGATTAGTCCCTATAATCTTTTCTAATTATAGTAAGTAGATATTTATTTTCTAACGAATTAAAGTTCTTATTATATTTCTTTATATAATTTTTATAGCTAATCTACTTATAGTATCGCTCGTTCCGCTTATAGTCCTTTTTAAGTAACCTTAAATACTTCTAGGTTATATCCGTAATTAGTATATACTAATAAGAGCTTAGTTATTTTTATAACTAAGCTATTATAAGCTAGTTACGCTATTAGTAGCTATTTAACTTAATCGTTTTATTTATAACTAATATAGTATCGTAAATATTATTTAAGCGTTTAGTTAAGTTATTCCGTTTATCTATCTATTTATAGGTAATAAGCTATACTAAGCTTATATTTCGTCCTTAATTATACTATAAGAGCTTACTAAAATTTAGCTATAAACGTGCTTCCTTTATTAAAGATAATCTTATTTAGTAGTCTATAATTACTAATAATAGTTTATAGGAATATATATACTAGCTCTTTTATATTACTTACTTCTTTATATAGTAAGAAGTATCTATACTTCGTTAATCTATTAGTAATAACGAATATACTATCGTACTTAACGTTAGTTATAGGTTCTTTCGACGGTAATAGCTTTATAATATAGTTAAAAGCTATCGAATCCTATAGTTTCTCTAGTACTAATAGCGGTTATAATTCTCTATATAGTTTATATCGTTTAGCTTTACTTTATACGTAAAGTTTATATTCTTTAATAACTTATTATACTACTTCCTTAAGCTATAAGAAGTTATATTATCGTTTAATCCGTTCTATTATTCTTTAGATTCCCTAGTATCTATATATTAAATATTTATATATATCTTATATAACTTTATCTTATAATTTTAGTAATATCTAGATTTTATTTTTATATATTAAAACTTCTAAATATCCTATATTATATTTATTTAGTGCTTTATATTCTTTTATCTATTTTAGGATCTTCTAATAAGTTAAGTCGTTAGGTTATACTTTAAATATTATATTTAGCTATCGTTACTAGTAGTTCCTATTTTCGTTAATTTCTAAGAGCTATCCTTTTACTATAGGTACCCCTATATTATAGTTGCTTTATCGACTAAGGGCATTAGCTCGACCGTTTTCTATTCCTTTTCTATAGATTATCTTATAGTCGAATTCTAATAAGTATTTAGCTTATTAGATCTATTATCTATTTAACTATTACGTTATTATAAAATATAAGATATTCTTATAGTTTATATAGACCTTAACTTTATATTTACTTCCGAGAAAGTAGTATTAAAATTCCTTAAAAGCTTAAATAATTATAAGGAATTCTTTATCGTAAATAAGGTAATTAAGTTCTATACTATATAACTTCTTTAAGTAAAATATAATTAGTCGTAGTCTTCCTTTATTATCTTTTTATTTAATTTATACTCTTAAAGTAAAGTCTAATATATCGGTTTTAAGTTCGATTTATTATTTTAGATTAAAGGTAGTTAAGACTAGTTCTTACGTAATCGTAGTCTTAATATAATCGAAAGCTTTATTAGCTTTATCGTTCTATATAAATTCTTTTTCCTTCTTCGTTAAGTCGTATAGTAGTACTATAATCTTTCTAAAATCTTTAATAAATCGTTAGTAGTAATTTATAAATCCTAGGAAACTTTATATATCCTTAACGTTCTTTAGCGTTAGCTATTCTTTAACTAAGTTAATTTTATCTTATTATATTTATATCTCTCTTACTAAGA